AGCCTTCCTGCTCCTCTGATGCTGCTTGGCCTGCTGTGTTCATCCAGCTCTACACCTTGTTATCTCAGATTCTCCAGCATCTGCAGTTCCTGCTATCACTGTGCACTGTGATACCAGCAACACACTCCAATTCTAACTAGGTGTGTGTGCTCCGACGAGGGCCCATGCGTGCCCAGTGTGAGCAGTTTGTAAGAGGGGTTCGAGGTCCGAACAAGAAGCAGGCCCCACATGCAAAAGAGTCCTTGAGCCAAGGCAGCAAGGAAGGGAAGGAAGATTGGTCAAACTTACCAACCAAGAGAAAAGTTCCTGCAGATGCCTCTGAGTCAAGGACTCCGTGAATTCTCCACACCGAGAGCAAACCTCGCAACCAGTGAACATCAACCAAACACAAGATACCGAATGGGGCAACACCAGCTACATCCACCATCATCCATGACAACAACCCGCTCACAAGGACCACCATGAAAGAAAAGAAACCCAAGGTACTCACTGTTCAGGTCCAATTCGCCTTGCTGCACCAGCGGATACCATGAGACTGACCAGTAGCAGCACTTGCGGTACCAGCTACGGAGAGACTGAAGACAAGAGCCAGTCGAAATCTAGTTTTCATTCCGGGGTGAGCCTAAGGTCATTCAGACCCTCTAACCTGGCTTGGCTCGTCTTAGATAGGAGCAGGTGGGGTTTGGGGGCTAATGGTGCAGGGCACCCCTAAGGATCTCTCTCTTTCTTTTTCCTGTTAGCGAATGCAACGACCACCCACTGTATATATTTTCCTGCCATATCAAGTCTTGGCTATAAGTTAATTTTGAGACAGGTCTCAGTCATTAGTAGTCAGGTTTGATATTCATTTTCTTGTTTTCCTGTAAATATATTCAATTTGCTTGTTTCTCAATAAAATCAGAGTTTTCTTTACTTGTGAAGTATCTTCCTCCTGTGTTTCCCACCACACCACATTCCACTACATAAGCCCAGTGTCAGAATTAGGGAACTGGTGAACAATAAACCAGGCAGCACTCCCTGCACAGCTGAGAAAACAGTGATTCCATGTTGCAGATAAAAATAAAGGAAGCCTCTATTTCTTTGCTGGAAGTCAGCACAAGTGATACGACAATCAAAAGGAAACAGGACAATGGCTTTTCAGCTAACTTGCAAAGCCAAGCATCTTAAAATCAACTGTTCGCCTACTAACATCAGTGTTGCTGATAGCACCCAAAGTAATGGGCTCAGCATCCCATTGTCTACTCTTCATGGAAGTATGCACTTTTAAAAAGAATGTTGTTTTTGGGCTCAACTCTTATTTCTAATGTGTATGCAAGTTGTGTAGTTATTTCATCTCGAGCTTAGAATCATAGAATCCCTATTTGGCCCATCAAGTCCACACCACTCCTCCAAAGAACATCCCACACAGATGCACCCCCCCTACAACCCTTCATTTCCCATGGCTAATCCACCTAGCCTGCACATCCCTGGACACCACAGGCAATTCAGCATGGTCAATCCACCTAACCTGCACATTTTTGGACTGTGGGAGGAAACCAAAGCACCTGAAGGAAACCCATGCAGACATGGCTGATTGTGCAAACTCCACACAGTCATCCAAGGCTGGAATCAAACCCAGGTCCCTGGCGCTGTGAGGCAACACTGCTAACCACTGAGCCATAGTGGCACCCACAGTTTAGTAACTAATAAAATCACTCTCTTGTTAAGAAAGCCTTGTTAAATGTTTAAAACATAAACTCATTTGGTCTGGGAGAAAAGACTCACAAGGGAAGGGATATTTTTTAATCAACCTTGTTGCATGCAACCAAAGGAGTGATGAATAAAGAAGGGAAGCCAGTTGATCTCTCCTCACTTGGGAGCATAACAATTTGGGATATACCACCTGGAACTGTAATGAATTGGGGAACCCCATCTGGGGACAGGTTGGCACAGTAAGGATGAGTGGCCTCAGGATGCTTTTGTCATTTCCTATACCTTGCTTGATTCAAATTCATTTATTATTCTTTTAAATGAAACTTTGGAGTGATTAGATACAACTGTATGCTTGCTAGAGCATTTCAGAGGGTACTGATACTATACTAACAATACCTAAGCAGGCTTCCTCACTTTCATGTGGATTGAGTGGTCTGCATTAACAGCTGCAGTTTTCCCAGGATCTTCACCCCAATCAAATTCACTGCTAAATGTATAAAACACACTTTTGTGGTGTATTTTCCTGGAGTAGTTCTAACGTTTCACTCAGCAAACTTTGAATTTGTGGAAATTTGGTTAGAGAGCTCAAAAGGCTAATTTACAGCTCATTAATATGCTAAATGGTGCCAACTGCAGTTTGCTGTAGTTGGCTCAAAACTACTTTTTATATGAGGACCTGTGTGCATCACAGAATGCTGAAAGAAAATTGTGTGTGTGTTTTAACAAATACCCCAGTTAAAGTCCAACCTATGGCAGATTGTGGCAGTATTAATTTACCCAATTACAGCATAGAAGACAATGTGATATATTCTGAGATCACTCCAGGGTGTACCAAAATAGACTTAAGGAAGGGTGTAAAAACAACATACTTACTTTTTCATAAGCTATATTCTTTCTATGAGGTTTGGAATTAGAAATGATAATAATTTACATCTGATTATTAAAATAGATTTGTTTAATTATGTCATAACAAATAGAACACTTTATTTTTAATCAATTAATAAAACCTTCAACATGTGAAATCTTAACCTGTTTCACACTGCCCTACATTACAATCCTAAAATTAGACTCAATAAATAGCAAAAAGATCTTTTTGGATGAATACCTTTATTAGTTCAAAAAGATAAAATACAAATAATTTGACTTAAAACTTAATGTAAATGATAGATCTTTCATATATCTGAATTTAATATACAGTGAAACATCCCATTAATATGCTTGCCTTGTTATTTACACACTAAGTTGACGGAAAACCCCTCAAGGGTTTATTGTTTATATTTATTTTGAACATATTAACTAAAAGCTATGCTGTATAACATAAATAAATATTAAATATACTTAAATGATACAGCGCAGTGTACTTGTGTGGTTTAATTTAAGAAACAAGTTTATTTTAAATGATTTGGTCATCCTTTATTTTACAGATCAGTAGCACCTTCAACAACTAACTGGTCATTGAAATAAAACGGCAAACAGATTTCACTTAATAAATTAACCCTTTTTGTTGAGTAAGGAATCATCTGTGTTGCTGTTAAAGTTTATAAATATTTTGTACTTTAAATATATTGCATAAATGTTAAAGCTTATTTAGAAATTAACTATCAGTTTCCACCAAAAAGTACAGCATCCATTTGCCTTTTTGTCGCTCAGAATGACAAAACTCAACCCTCTTCACATGCTTTATTAAAGTGCTTCAGTCTTGTGAAAAAGTGTTTTATAGTTTTCTCTCAAATTATTGTTTCATGCTTTGGTACTGTAAAACATGCATATTCCTGCATTCTGCTATTGCTCCTAGGAGTTTCAAAGTAACGTTATAGTTCCGTATGGTTGATTGTTTATCAATAAAACGGATACTCTCTCTTTAACTGTACCTTCACTTTAATAGCAGCATTTAGATGAGGAGTTTTTCAGCATTAGTTACTATTAGAAAAAATTTCCAGCGAATGAGCCAAAAATTTGTTTACACAAAGTTCATACACCACACCATTGCAGAGATTATCCAACATCTCTGCTCCAACTGCATTCAATTTAAATGCCAAAGATAGACAGGGAAAATGAAGTCACCTGTGATTTTTATATACTGTGTATTAAAACTTTTATGCCATATATATATATTATGTGCATGAAAAACATTTTGACCGGTTCTACCTGTATGGCCTAGTTTAGGGCAATATTGGAATTTCAGTTAAGCCAGCTTTAAATGTCGCTGACTGATGTTCACACTTACATTTTCTCAAGTGGGCATCCTTGTTCGTCTCAGTCAGAAAAGCAAGAAATCTGAGCGTGGGAGAGTTACATTTTTGTCACAAGCATCTGGACAGACAGAACAAGGAGCAATATTTAGGTCAACTCCCTGGTTGGCTTTGTTGACTGCTCATTTCCTCTAACAGAAAAATTGAAAGAGAGGTGAAAAGTGAAATAAAGTATAAATAATAGTATAAATAAGAATAAAGTATTTCTTTCAGGGTTTAGGAGAAGCACAAGCAGTTACAGTAGTTAAACGGTACAAATCATAGCGGATTCAACTTTTCTGCCACCATCTTTGATTTTACAGTGCAAGCTTACAGTTCTGAACATTGCCAGAAATAAACACTACCTAGCCATCATGCTGGAATAACCAAGGATATTTAGTTTTCATTCTGTACTTGGCTACATTTATCCATTTTCTGACCCTGAGTCCCTGAGTTTCGGTATGGTGAATTGAGCAGACGTGTTAAACTTTGCGCCTCTCTTGAAGCTGCAACTTCACTCACACTGGAGTTCATTTACCTTCCATTACACCATGATTGTGTAAACTGGTAGTTACTAAGTGATCTACTGGTGCTTCTATTCTTGGTTGCTTCAGCCGTCTGCCAGTTTTTCCACAGAAAACGCTCTCAAATTCCTTCAAGATAAAGAATAATTAAATATTTGTGATTTACTCTATCAACTGTACTTACAAAAAGATGTAAACAATGAATTTTAAGTCTAATTTAATGTTATTGCTTTCTTTCCTTGTAAATCCTGCTCATCTTTAATGTTCTGTTGATCTACTTCAGTTGTAGAGATCCCATTCTATCATGATGAGCCATGCAGTCACTCATAAGAAGGAACTAAGACTTCCTAAGGTGTTGATCTTACAGAAAGGAGCACATCAGCCTATGCTTGAATGTTTTTTTCTTTACATAGCTCAGATTGCAACACGATCAAGCCTATACTTGCTTGTTTTTTCTATGTTGTTAAACATCGAGACCAGGGCTTGATTTTATCATTTTGAACCTTACCAATAATGAATGGCTGGCCCCACAGACTGACTCCACTGTATGCTGGCATTCCTACTCAATTTACAGTACCCTTTCTGAGAAATTCAGGCAAGAATTTGTCTGGTAAATCTTCATACATGTTTCTCTCACCAGGTTGTAAGCTTGTGTTGGGCAGGATATTGATTATGAGATAATATGAATTGAACCGGATGCATGGAGATGTGGGGATATAGAAGGGTGAAATACCTATTACCTATCTTTCATTTTGGATTAAAGTTTTTTGTTTTAGTCATTCATGGGATGTGGGTGTCATTGGCTGGGCCAGCATATATTACTCATCTCTAACTGCCCTGGAAAAGATTGTGGTGCCTTCTTGAACCACTGTAATCCATTTGGTGAAGATACACCCACAATGCTGTTAAGGAGGCAGTTCCAAGAGTTTGACCAGTGCCTTCAACCATTTCTTGGTATCATACAGAGTGAATCAAATTGGCTGAAGACTGGCATATGTAATGTTGGTGACCTCTGGAGGAGGCCGATATAAGAACAAGGAGCAGGAGTAGGCCATCTGGCCCCTCGAGCCTGCCCCGCCATTTAATAAGATCATGGCTGATCTTTTTGAGACTCAGCTCTACTTACCCGCCCACTCACCATAACCCTTAATTCCTTTACTGTTCAAAAATTTATCTAGCCTGGCCTTAAAAACATTCAGCGAGGTAGCTTCAACCGCTTCACTGGGCAGGGAATTCCACAGATTCACAACCCTTTGGGTGAAGAAGTTCCTCCTGACCTCAGTCCTACCTCTGCTTCCCTTTATGTTGAGGCGATGCCCTCTAGTCCTAGTTTCACCTGCTAGCGGAAACAACCTCCCTGCCTCCACCTTATCTATTCCCTTCATAATCTTATATGTTTCTATAAGATCTCCCCTCATTCTTCTGAATTCCAATGAGTATAATCCCAGTCTACTCAGTCTCTCCTCATAATCCAACCCTCTCAACTCTGGAATCAACCGAGTGAATCTCCTCTGCACCCCCTCCAGTGCTAGTATATCTCTTCTCAAGTAAGGAGATCAAAACTGCACACAGTACTCCAGGTGTGGCCTTACCAGGACTCTATACAGCTGCAGCATAGCCTCCCTGTTTTTAAACTCCATCCCTCTAGCAATGGCAGACAAAATTCCATTTGCCTTTTTAATTACCTGCTGCACCTGCAATCCTACTTTTAGCGATTCATGCACGAGGAAACCCAAGTCCTTCTGCACAGCAGCGTGCTGCAATTTTTTTACCATTTAAAACATAGTCCATTTTGCTGTTATTCCTACCAAAATGGATGACCTCACACTTATCAACATTGTACTCCATCTGCCAGACCTTTGCCCACTCACTTAGACTATCTATATCCCTCTGCAGACTCTCAGTGTCTTCTGCACACTTTGCTCTACCACTCACCTTAGTGTCATCTGCAAATTTTGACACACCACACTTAGTCCCCAACTCCAAATCACCGATGTAAATTGTAAACCATTGCGGTCCCAACACTGATCCCTGAGGCATACCACTAGCCACTGACCGCCGACCAGAAAAACACCCATTTACCCCTACTCTTTGCTTTCTACTGGTCAACCAATCCTCTATCCATGCCAATACATTACCTGCAATACCGTGCAACTTTATCTTATGTAGCAGCCTTTGGTGTGGCACCTTGTTAAATGCCTTCTGGAAATCCAGATACACCATATCCACAGGTTCCCCATTGTCCACCGTGCAAGTAATGCCCTCAAAGAATTCCACCAAATTAGTTAAACATGACCTACCCTTCATGAACCCATGCTGGGTGTTTCCAATGGGACAATTTATATCCAGATGTCTTGCTATTTCTTCCTTAATGATAGATTCAAGCATTTTCCTCACTATCGAAGGTAAGCTAACTGGCCTATAGTTATCTGCTTTTTGTCTACTTCCTTTTTTAAACAGTGGCGTCACATTGGCTGTTTTCCAATCTGCGGAACCACTCCACAATCCAGTGAATTTTGGTAAATAATTACTAGTGCATTTGCTATTTCCCCCATCACCTCTTTTAGTACCCTGGGATGCATTTCATCAGGGCCAGGAAACTTGTCTACCTTTAGCCCCATTAGCTTGCCCAGCACTGCCTCCTTAGTGATAATGATAGTTTCTAGGTCCTCGCCTGCTATAACCTTCTTGCCATTAGTTTTTGGCATGTTATTTGTGTCTTCCACTGTGAAGACCGACACGAAATAACTGTTTAATGTCTCGGCTTTTTCCTCATTCCCAGTTATTAAATTGGCCTTCTCATCCTCTAAAGGACCAATGTTTACCTTCGCCACTCTTTTACGATTTGCATACTTATAGAAACTTTTGCTGCCTGTTTTTATATTCTGAGCTAGTTTACTCTCATAATCTATCTTACTTTTCTTTATAACTTTTTTTGTGGCTTTGTGTTGGCCTTTAAAGATTTCCCAGTCTACTAGTTTCCCACTACTCTTTGCTTTTTTGTATGTGTTTTTTTTTCAATCTGATACTTTCCTTTATTTCCTTAGACATCCATGGCTGTCTCTCTCTTTTCCTACAGTTCTTCCTTATCACTGGAATATACTTCTGCTGAGCACTGTGAAAAATCGTTCTGAAAGTCCTCCACTGTTCCTCAATTGACCCACCATAAAGTTTTTGCTCCCATTCTACCTTAGCTAACTCCTCCCTCATTCCTTCACAGTCTCCTTTGTTTAAGCACAGGACATAGGTACTGGATTTAACCTTCTCACGCTCCATCTGTATTTTAAATTCGATCATACTGTGATCGCTCCTTTCGAGAGGATCCCTAACTGTGAGATCATTAATTATTCCTGTGTCATTACACAGGACTAGATCTGGGATAGCTTGCTCCCTCATAGGTTCAATTACATATTGTTCAAGGAAATTATCGCGGATGCATTCTATGAACCCCTCCTCAAGGCTGCCATGACCGATCGATATGTAGATTAAAATCCCCCATGATAATTGTTGTACCATTTTCACATGCATTAGCTATTTCTATGTTTATTGCCTGCCTGATATGGATCATTCATTTGACACTTCTGGATGAAGACTGTTGCAAATGCTTCGGCCTTATAGTTCGTGCTGACATTCTGGGTTCCCCCATCTTTGAGGATGGGGATATATGTAGACCTTCCTCCTCCAGTTAGCTTTTAATTATGACTATTCATGGTTGCAAGTGGCATGACTCCAGAGGTTACATCTGGTCCACTGGTGTTGGAACTGCTTAGCTGTATCACTTGCTGCTTATGCTGTTTAACAGGTAAGCAGTCCTGTTTTGTAGTTTAGCAAGTGGACACCAATTTTTAGGTATGCTTGGTGCTGCTCCTGGAATGCCCTCCTGCATGCTTCATTGAACCGAAATCAAATCGGTGTCAAACCATTTGTCTTTTTGTCTGTCTTAACCATGATTGATAGTGTGCATATTTGGAGTTGTGGTAGAGTTGTAGTTTAAGTTGTGTGATAATAGATTAGGAATAATTTTAACATCAAAACAGAGAAAATAAATCAAATAAAAACCCAAAGAGCTACAGATGCTGTAAATCACAAAAAAACACAGAAATTGCTGAAAAAACTCAGCAGGTCTGGCAGCAGAGTTAATGCTTTGGGTCGAGTGACCCTTCCTTGAGTTTTATACAATTAATAAAGCTTTTTTGCTGTTCCAGACAAACTCTGGTATGAATTGCTTTTAACCTGAATAGCAACCAATCAAAAATATCATCATTTTTAGAGCTCAAAATGGGATTTTATACACTTAGGTACAATTTACGGAATAGTGAGGCATACTTAACGCACACCCTTCTCAGTTAGGTTGTAACAACACTGACTGCCAAGGATCAAGTATGAACCATGGCCATGTGGTGAGGGACCGCAGCTCCATCAAGGTCCATGGAATGACAGCATATTATGAGTCACTGACTTTAGGGGAGAAGGGAAGTATATTTGGAAAAAATGTAACTTACCTTTTTTAATGTATCACCGTGTTTTTCCTGAATATATTTGAGAAAGGCAGTGGTCCATTGTAACGTTGTGGCTTTATCAGTCTCAGAATTGCAGAATGGAACAAGATAATTCAGCTCATCACAGCAAATACGTATTCTACGCCTGCAAACGAATCATGACAAAATTATTTCAAAAAACAAGTAACAGGTGTTATTTGATGCACTCTATCTCTTCCCCATTGTTTACTGAAGATAATGAATTTTGTGAGTTGCTTATTGACGATGAGAATCATTTTTGAAGCTATCAGATATTGATCAAAATACTGAAGTGTTTCAGTTATTTGTTAATGCTTTAGAAATACTTTCATCAATGCTTTCACTTACGTTCAATGAACAATTAATTGGAGGTACTTGCATGCCTCTGAACAAATCTGAGCACACACTATCCTTTATTTGCTTACTACATTCTGTGAACTTTCTGAAATCAAGTCTGTTTTTATTCCAATGCCTATTTCTAGGTTTTCTTGTGTTATTTCTGTTTGACTCACACTACTTATGATCCACATTTTCCTCAATAAGTACTTTACATGTCTCTATTAAAATTCATCTGCAATTTGTCTGTCCAGTTGCTTAATTAACTAAATCTTGCAAAGCTTCATCCTCTGGTGCAGACGTATGGGCTGAATGGACGCCTTCTACATTGTAACAATTCTGTGAAGAACATCTTTTGCTCCAAAAAATCAATCTCAATGTTAAACGAAATATCTACCATCTTCCCACCCCATTTAAGATTCACCTGCGGTCTCTCTCCATTCGGTTATGTCTCTCTCTTCGCTGGCAGTTTAGTTCCTGTTGGTTGCCATGTGTAGGGCCAGGGGGAGTTGGATGTGCTGGCTGCCATTGCGCACCTTGAGCAACATTTGAGTTTTGGTTTTCTGACATGTTAGTGAGATCGCTAAGAACTTTGTGGTCTGATTCTATGCTAGCTTGCCGTGAGCGACTGCGACAACGTTTGTTTGTTACCTGCTTGCGTACAGTTTCATCTGCGTGGGTGAAAAAAAAGGAACATTTTTTCTTTAATAATGTTCACTTCAAATACTTTTCACCAGTAAGCTAGTGATTACTTAAAATATAACGGAAATTATACCTATTCGTCAATGAAAATCTGCAATCTTGGTAGGAAAACTGGATGAAATTTCATATAAATTTGGATACGGTAGTAGGCTTAAGTACATCAAAAGTCATTGAATGGGCACAGTGATATTACATCACCATATTTAATCACTCCTTAACTAATTGAACTATAAACTGGATAATTATTCTAAAACCAAATTGGGCACCAGCATCACTACTACTATCAATGGGAAACTGGCCATCAGCAATGATTTGCAGGATGAAGAGGATGGGAGAATAGGGAAACAAATCTTAGGAAGTTCAGTTTACACTTCGCCATCTGTGGTCAGGGATTAAAAAAATACTTTCCTTTAGTAAACAAGTAGTAAGCAGGTAAAGACTCCTACTCCCGAAGATAGCCAAGACAGCAGACTCAATGCACATCAGTAAAGTTAGATCACAGGGATTCAGGGTGAGCTTGCCAATCGGATACAAAATTGCCTTAACAGCAGAAGACAAAGAGTGGCGATGGAGACTGGAGGCCCCTTACCAGCAGTGTTCCACAGGGATCAGTGCTGGATCTACTTCTGTTTGTCATTTATATAAATGATTTAGATAAGAATATAGAAGACATAGTCAGTAATTTTGTGGACAACACTAAAATTGGAGGTACTGCATAGTGGACAGTGAAGAATGATATCTAGGTTTACAAAGAAATCATGGTCAGTTGGGTCAATGGGCTGAGGAGTGACATATGAAGTTTAATTTGGATAAATGTGAGGTATTGCATTTTGGTAAAACAAACAAAGGTATAACTTATTCAGTTATAAGTAGGGCCTTGCGTAGTGCTGTAGAACAGAGAGACCTAGGGGTTCATGTACATAATTCTTCAAAGTTTGCGTCACATGTAGACAGGGTGGTTAAGAAGGTGTTTAGCATGTTTGCTTTCATTGCGGAGACCTTTGAATATAGAAGTTGGGACGTCATGTTGAAGTTGTACAGGACGTTGGCAAGGCCTCTTCGGGAGTACTGTGTCCAGCTCTGGTCACCCTGTTATAGGAATGATATTATTAAGCCAGAGAGGGTTCAGAAAAGATGTACCAGGATGTTGTGGAGAATGGGTGGGTTTGAGTTATAAGGAGAGGCTGGATAGGCTGGGACCTTTATCACTGGAGCACAGGAGGTTAAGAAGTGACCTGATAGAAGTTTATAAAACCATAATGAGTTTAGATAAGGTGAATGATAGGTGTTGTTTCCGTATGGTTGGGGATTTCAAGAATCAGGGGCATAGTTTTAAGGTGAGAGGAGAAAGATTTAAAAAAGACGAGAGGCATGTTGCTTACACACAGAGTGTTTTATATGCGGAATAAACCTCCAGAGGAAGTGTTGGATGCAGGTACAGTCGCAACGTTTAAAACACATTTGGATAAGTAAATGAATAAGAAATGTTTGGAAGGATATGGGGCAAACGCAGGCATTTGGGACTAGTTTAGTTTGGGATTATGTTTGGCTTGGTCTGATTGGACCGAAGGGTCTGTTTCTGTGCTGTATGACAATGACACTATAACTATGATTAGGAAATACCAGCTAAATATAATTAATGCAACTTGTCTTGCTTTCCTTGCCATTATTGAAAGAAAGCAGGTACAGTCGCTGCATTTGGACTGATTACATGAAATTATCACCATTCACCTGCAGATCTCAGCAGGGTGACTTGGCAATGCCTTCACAGGACCTGGGCATCAAAGAACCAGATTTTGAGTTACTCCATCTGTACAAGGACTTTTGCAGCTACGACGTAGCATTGGAGTGACACTTCCAATGGCAGCAATGGTTTTATGTGGCGTTCAATTTTACATATTCCCATGCCATGCTGAAACATTATTTTAATGCTGTCACTTTATTTTATGGGAATAGCAAGTTGGAATGACAGGAAGGGCAATTCATGCATCACCTCCACTTCAAACGACATCAAAAGGGGAAAAAATCGGAGTCCTAGGTTCATACAGAATGGAAACAGACCCTTTGGTCCAACAGGTCCACGCCGACCACATTCCCAATTTAAACTAGTCCCACCTGGCTGCACTTAGCCCATATCCCTCCAAACTTTTCCTATTCATGAACTTATCCAAATGTCTCTTAAATGTTGTAACTGTATCTGCATCAACCACTTTTTCTGGCAGTTCAATCCAAACATGAAACATGAAACACTCTGTGTAAAAAGGTTGTCCTTTATGTCCTTTTCAAATCCTTCTCCTCTCACCTTAAAAATATACCCTATAGTTGTGAACTCCCCCAACCTTGGAAAAAGTCCCTTGTCATTCACCTTATCTATGCCCCTCATAATTTTATAAACCTCAATAAGGTTATCCCTCAATCTCCTACACTCCAGTGGAAAAAAAGTCAGTAGAAGATCTCTTTCAAATAATTCAAATCTATTTCGAATTGACATAAGAAACCAGGAACAAATACATTTTCTACTATGGGAAATCTATACTTGAAGTTCAAATTAACTTTGAATATTTGATCTGCTGGCTTACAGTGCTTTTTACAGTTACTGACAATAAAATTAGTAGTTAAGGTATATAGGATACACTTTTATTAGTCAGGACATAGATTATAAGAATAGGGAGGTTATGTGGATCTGTACAGGACTTTGGTTAGATCACAGCTGCAGGACTGTGTGCAGTCCTGGTCTCTGAACTATAGCGAAGATGTGATCACATTGGAGGGGGTGCAGAGGAGTTTCACCAGGATGTTATTTGGGATGGAGCAATTTAGTTATGAAGAGATGCTTGGGAGGGTGGGTCTAAGCCCGAAACGTCAGCTTTCCTGCTCCTCTGATGCTGCTTGGCCTGCTGTGTTCATCCAGCTCTACACCTTGTTATCTCTGGATAAGCTTGGGTTGCTTTCTCTGGAGCAGAGAAGGTTGAGAGAGACCTGACAGAGATGTATAAGAGATATGAGGGGCATGGACAAGGATAGAAATGAATAGAAAGCAGCTGATCCCCTTAGTCGCACGGTCAATAACAGAGGGGTAAAATTTTAAGGTGAAAGGCAGAAGGTTTAGAGAGGATTTGAGAAAAAATGTTTTCATCCAGAGGATGGTGGGGGTCTGGAATGCACTGACTGGGAGGAAAGTTAGGGCAGGTCACCTCACAACCTTTAAAAAGTACTTGGATGAACAAGTACTTGAAATTTGGTAACATTCAAGGCTATGGACCTATTGCTGGGACTAATGCAGATTTAGTGTAGTTTCGGCAGTACAGACTTGAAGGGTTGAAGGCATCTTCTGTACTGTGTGAATCTATGAAAATGTCTCTCATTCTGAACTGATTTGTTGCAGAAGCTACACTGATAACCTCAATAAAATTCTGCAGCATGCCATAGAAAACTAGGAGCCTTGGCTACAAGACCATTAGCCCACTATAAACACTCAGTGATAATAGGATCCTACTGCTTGTGTAGTGTGCAGTACCCTATCAAGTCCTTGATTTTACTAGTAAAAATAGCAGAATCCCAATGCCACTTTTCTACTTAAAATGCTGAGAAATAATTGTTAAAACTTCAATGCGACCTCACAGGGAACAAGGGTATGAAACATTTTATTTTAGCAAATAGTAAAAATTATTTATGAATAGTTAGCATTTACCTTAACTATTTAATTAACCACTGCTGTTGCAGAAACGTTCATACTTAATTGGCAAAAAAATGCCTTGGTTTGATGGGTAATTTTGCTTAAATTTAGCAGAAATTGCCTGTCTGGATAATTACAGTAAATACAGACTAAGTTTTACTATTCCATATATAGAAAGGAGAGTAGCTAAAGTAAATGTTGGCCTCCAAAACACAGAGACAGGAGAAATGATCATGAAGAGGACTTGGCAGAGATTCTGAAATATTGAGAGTCTGAAAACATAAATTACACAACAGAGGAGCACACAAAGGGGCTAAAATGAGTGAAGAACCTAAGGTAATATGAGGGCAGAAAATGAATTGGAAAAACATAAGGAACTGAAGTCTGACAAACCACCAAGACCCTGATGGTCTACATCATAGGGGTCTAAAAGAAGTGGCGGCAGATATTCTGGATTAAACCCCCTTGATCCCAAAACTGTCCCAGAAGACTGTAAATTAGCAAATGTATAACTTCATCATTCAGAAAGTGGGGAAAAGGGGAGAGGCCAAATGGTTTGAAATCAGAGATTGGGAAGATACTGGAACCCATTCTTAAGAACATTTAACAATGCACTAATCATTGTATGACTAATTAAAGTCAATAAGGTTTTACAAAAGGGAAACCATGTTTGACGAACACATTAGAAATTTTTGAGGATGTAATGAGAAGGATCGATAAAAAGGAAACTAGTAGATCTGGTTATACTTGGATTTCTAAAAGCATGCAATAAAATGCCACACACAAGATTAACAATCAAGATCAGGGCTCATGAATCGGGGTTACATATTAGCATGAACATAGCTTTTTTTAGCCAACGTGAAGTGAAGATAAATGGGCAATTCAAGTTGGCAGGTAATGATCATTAGCATGCTGCAAAGATCAGTGCCAGGGCCTCAGCTATTTGTAATAAGTATCAATGATTTAAGCCAAAGAGACCAAGAGTATTTACGCTCAAAACCAAGTATTTATGTTTGATGGTGATGTAAAGCTGGGTGGGAATGTAAGCTGTGACAAACACATAGAGAAGTTGCAAAGAGATGTAGAAAAGTTAAATAGGGCAATGAAATGTCTGGTGGAGTATAAGGTGGGAAAGTGTCAATTTATTTACTTTGGTTGTAAGAATAGAAAGTGATTTCTTTAAAAGGGCATATAATTTGTAAAAGCTGATGTTCAGAGACACTAGTAAAAGGAATATATATATATCTTGACTTTTTCACAGGATGAAGGCAAAGCGGTGGACATTGTCTATAT